CAGGTGATTCTCCTTTGCAGCCATGAGCAGGTTCCCTGATCTGCAATCACCCGCAGCCGCCGGCCCCATTCCCCTTGGCTCCCATCTTCAACGGACCGAACTAGTTCTGTGGAGTGGCCAAGTGATTCTTTGGCATTTTCCTTTTAAAATTAAGAATGTCATTTTGGACTCTTCAAGCCATACACGTTCACCGCAGCAAATGATAAAAACAGAGGAAAGTACGAAGCAGGGAACAGATGTTTTACATTGTTTCTCAACCAAGGACTTAACTTGACCTGCTGTGGTTTTCAGTCCGCAGGCTGCCAAGTGGGACTGGCTCCTGTGCTTCCTCCCTCAGTGTGGTCCCCATTCAGGGAGCGGGGTGACTCCTCAGACAGCGCTGCTCAGGATAAACACTGATCGACACTTACTGTGGCCACAGGGTTAGGCCACAGCGACCCAAAGATCTCAGACGAGGGTACACGAGACACTTCGACAGGTCGCTTTAAAAACCTCTCCACGGATCCCAAGTGCCTCCTTTTTCCCTTTTCAGTTTCCCTGGAGGCTGACATGTTGACTACTGTTGCTCTGGCTGAGGTGGTCCTTGGTTCAGACAATTTTCTAGGCTTTCCATGGAAGTTAAGGGGCAGCTGTTGCTCTTCCCTCTGCCACTTTCCCACACCTCCTGCCCTAGTAAGTCCCAAGGAGAGTCACCCTCTCTCCTTCAGTAGATGAGGCCTTTTGTCTGCTCCCAGCCTGGTGAGGTGGTGATCTGGGGGTGCTTTCCCCCGCTCCACTCTGAGCCTTGCTTCACTGGACTCCTTTCCCTGTGCAGCCGGGACAGGGCAGCCCTGGGGATGTCCCCTCCACTCATCCCTGTCACTCAGCAGAGCTGCAAGAACTGGGCCAAAGGTGCCCAGACCTTCCAAGCCAACCTCAGATGACCCCGGCTGACAGGAGGACGCTGAGTGTTGCTGGTGTGTGACAGAGCCCTGTAGGCTGGGAGACTCTCACGGCTACGGTTTCCCTCTGATGAGTCCTTGTGGGTGCGCTCGTCCAGCTGCATAATCTCCATGGTGTAGAACTGGCCGTATGGGGTCTTGTTTCTCACTTTTCAAAAGGGGGGCAAACAGTGGCACTGTGCTATGAAAACAGGCCCTGAGGGAAGGGTGCCACCGCCATGGGAAACATCCCAACACCTTGCAAACCAGCTCCCTGGAGCTCCCTCTGCCCCAAAGCTTCACAGAAGGGTCAACCTCAACCAAGGCTCCACAGGCTGCCTCAGAGCCCCTTCTGGAAGGAGACAGGCATTTTTACCAAAAGGAGCGCAGGCCGGGAGACACTGCAGGAAGTAAACATGGGCCCTGGGGTCAAAAGACAGCTCCACCCCAGAGGCACCTGGACACCATCCAGGACCAAGAATGGAAAAGGCCAGAGGGAGGCCCTGAGGCTCCACAAGGAGCAAAGTGTAAGACACCCACTCAGACCCTCTGGGATGCCCTCCTTCCAGGGACAACCAGGCCCCAGCCACGAGGAATAAAGTCAACAGTGCGGAAGGTGCCGCTGTGGGGGGAGTCAGCTGTTCCAACTGAAAGGGAAACATTGGTTCCAGGTTCTGTAGAGATCCCCCAGCCCACCAGGAGGCTCACTGCCCCCCAAAGGGCCCACACATCTGTGGTTTCAAGAGCAGAGTTGTGGTCCTCTGTACCCTACACACGATGCCTCCTCTTTTCCCTTCCCCATTCCCCTCCCTGGTGCTGGGTGGGGAGGGCTGATTTGTGTACCCCAAATTTACATGCTGAAGTCCTAACTCCCAGTACCTCAGAATGCAACTGTTGGAGATATGGTCTTGAAAGAGGTCATTTGTTAAAACAAGCTCTTTAGGGTGCACACAATCTGTGGTATTTCATATGTCAGCCCCAGGAAACATACAGTGGGGACAGGGACAAGAGGAGCAAGGGGTCCAGGCCTGAATTTCCCCACAACTGAAGTGAGAGAGAAACCTAACCTAAACAGATGTCCAACAAATGCCAGATCACCCACCTACATATCTGTTGTGCCATGTTCTGAACACGAGGCAGGTCAGGGGGCCTCTGTGGAGCCCCCCTTCAAGAACCCCTGGATCCCAGAGAACAACCCTGTTGTACCATCTGGTCACAGGGGCTGACATGGGGAGAAGAACAGGGACTTTCTCTCCCCAGGCAGGGCACTCACTGCTTCGTGGTGACCCCAACAAAGGACCACAGCCCTAATATCTTTCCTTGAAGAGGTCCGGAAGGGGCCTGGGGTGCCATGGGAGGGGTGGGAGGTGGTCCCTTGCCCACCTCTGCCCCAGGTGTGGGGGACCACACGCCTTCTCCTGGCGCCTGGGGCCACACAAGCACAGCAGCCTCTGCACACCCTTACCTTCCCGCCTCCTGGCTGGTGTTTCAGGTTTTCAGTGGAGCCGATCTTGGACCTGACGTTCTTCAGGTCTGGCATGGGCACGGGGGCCGTCTGCAGGCGGCTCTTGGCTGAAGACGGCGACTTGGGTGGAGTGCGGACCACTGCCACCTTCTTAGGCTCCCGGGTGGGCGGGGTTGGCAGGGATGGGGTTCGGGAGCGGCTGCCAGGAGTGCCAGGGGAGCCGGGGCTGCTGTAGCCACTGCGGTCCCCAGATTTCCCAGATTCACCTGGAAAGGAGGTGGGAGTGAGGCCAGTGCTTGGAATGGGTGCCAGTTAGCAAAAGCCCCGGGGGCTGCCTGTCCCAAGGGTCCATTTCCGGGCTCAGGGCTGGATGGGACAGGTGGGGAGCTCAGGAGGCTGCCCTTTAGCTCATTTGAGATAATTGTCTTTTCCTGGCCTTGTTGCTTAGGGAAAGAGACACCCCACTTCCCAGGGAAGCAAGAGTGCTCACCAAGTACCACCAGTACCCCTTCCCAGAGATGTTCTGCCCCATGGGCCTGGGGTCAAGACATGGGATCCAACTAGCTATGTGGTCTCCAAGTCACATCCCCATCTGAGCTCAGGGCTGCAACTCAAAAATGAAGATTATTATGAAGTAGGCAGTGCAGAAGGCCAGGTGGTGATGTGTGTCAGGCAGGGATATGTGTACTCGTGTTTCAGAAAACTCCACTGGGATTCCAGGTGGCCTTTGCCCTGAACAAGGGTGATGCAAGAACAGGACCTGGGGCCACCTTGTCTGGACCCATTAGAGCCTTTACCCACAGGGTGAATTTTAAGCTGTTCACCAAGTTCAGAGTGCCTTTCCCACCAGACCCCTGCCCAGCCTCCCCATGCCTTTGTGGTACCTGGGCTTGTGTCACTATGCCTGCTTCATGTTCACCTGTTCCTAGCTCTCCAAACAAGCCATGCTCATGCCCCCAGCCCCACCCTTCCCTTCCCCCATGATGCCTGGCAAATACCAGAGCACCTGTCCCCACCCTCCAGGAAGGCTGCTGGGACCAGTCCTCCCCCAGCGGACTGTCTTGTGCTCCCTGACCTGCACTCCCGGGCCCCACTGCCCTCAATAGTTTACTATTTCACCTGCCACGTGGTTCAGTGTTTCTCCAAGTGTGGCCCAGGGACCCCTGTGTCAGTCTTTAGAGCTGTGAAGGGGAAGTGGGACCTGAAGATGCAGATTCCTAGGCCCCACCCAGACCTGACATGATAGAACCTCTAGGGATGGGGCCTGAAGACTGGTTCCTCCCAAGCTGCCCTGCGATTCCTAAGCAGACAGGAGTCTGAGAGCCACTGGGCTGGGTGCTGTGCCCAGGGGCCTGAGGCTTAAGGTCCCTCAGCGACTTATGAGGGGCAGAATGAGCAGGGTCATTCCTAGAGTCTGAATGTCCATGTCTGCTGTGATCCCTAAAGTCCTCAAGCTCTGTGGCAACAGGACAAATGAAGCCCTTTCCCCTTTTCCGCCTAAGGAGACACCAGCCAGGTCTCTGTCTCCAGGCTCAGCCCTGCCCTGCCCCACCCTCCTGCCTCCAAGCAGAAGGCTGGGACTTGGTAGCTTAAAATCCTTTCTGTGCCACCTAATTGCAGAGCGACCCCTGAGCGTGTGTCCTCATCTGAAAAGTGGGGAGTGCAGCCACAGCCCCCAGGGCTGTGTTTTGAAGACTGGATGTAGTAGCAGGTAAAAGTGTCCTGAGCAGTGAGAGGCTAGGGAATTTATCACCCGAACCTTGGTTAGGGGCAGTCCACACCTCCAGCAACCAGACAGCTGAGGCACATGCTCCCTCACAGCCCTCAGCGGAAGGAAAGGAGAGCACACGGGATTAGAAAGCGCCATCAGACAGACACCTCTAAACAAACCACATCCAAGAGGAGGAACAGGAATTCTGACTGTTCCAATTCTATTTCAGGTTGTGGAAGCAGGTCCTCCAGCTCTGAAAACCTAAGCCAAGAAGCAGCCACACGCAAAGGGGGTGACCCCCGGCTGAGCAGGCTCAGAATTACCTCTGTCAGATTTTGGCCCTGCAGGGGGTGGTTTTCTCTGCACTTGCTTGGGAGCTTGAAAAGAAAAATCCACAGAAAGCCTCATTATAATCAAGCTTAAATGGGCCTTAATGAGCTCTTCTCCAGGCCATGGGTGCCCAGCCAGACCACGGGGCAGAGGAGAGCGGGGCAAGGAAGGCAGCCAGTCTGTCAGGAAACAAGGCCAAGGGGGTCCACGGGTGTTCTGTCCACCTGCAGGTGGCCACCTGAGAGCAGGTAAGATCCATGGAGAAATGCATGTTCTTTCTTGAGTTGTGGCTCTAGTGTGTGAGCCAATTGGCATTGTGTTAAGTGACAAAGAGCAGGATCAAAATCATATATAAAATCCGATCACAATTCCTCAATTATCCCATAGCACATGTATTATGTACATGAGGAAAACATTACATGGAAAACCAAACCAACAGGTCTTAATGCACGGCCGTCCTTATAGGCACCACCCTATGTCAAACTCGAGCTAAATGCTGCGGCAAAAGCACGCAGCAGACGGAGGGCCCTGAGCTGCCACCTCAGGCCAGTGGCAGCAGAGATGCCATTGACCAGCCCAGGCTCATGCGCAGCCGGACAAGATCCACAGGCCCCAGTGCACCACCCTGGAGCCAGCGCAGGCCAGATGCCCCCTGTGAGCTGTGAAGAATCTAAACCCAGTTGCCTGGGACACGTCTCCTGGGCTGTAGGAAAGGGGAGCTAAGCCTGGCTGTCCCCAACCCCCAAAGAGGGCTACTATTCTTAATAACACTGTGGTAGGCAGCTAGACAGACATGAGCAGAACAAAGACGATGGGCCAGGTACAGAAGGTCACCAAGGCAGAAAACCCTGGGTGCCTAGCAAGGGACAATTGTAAGGTGGGACCTTGCCTTCAGGGTGGCCTTTCCTCCCCTAGCATATTACTTGTCAAGTGGCTTGGACTCCCTAACCTTCTCTCCCTAAAGATAACATTAGGCCTCATTTGTATTTCAGCTTCAGGCCCAGAAAAGTAGTAAAACCAGCCACAGCTGACCTCAGGACCAGCTGCATTGAATAATGACCCCCTGCCCTGACGGAGACCAATCAGTCAGTGGAGACCTAGGCCCTGAAAGGACACACCTGGAAAACTCCTGAGTATTCTAGTGAGATCTTCCCCTGGCACCGCCCCTAAAATCTCCACCCTTAAAACCCAGGGTCCAGGACACGCTCTCCCTCCAGGGAGCACGCCTGCACCTTTCCCTCTCCTTTCAGGCGTGTCACCGTTACCTTCCTCACTCCCAAGCTCCTAGGACCCTTTCCTTTGCCTCTATAATGTGTTTCCTAAGCTCATTTCTTCTATGAATTACTTCTACCTCTGTGATTTTATAAATAAGCGTTCTCTTATAGTTTGGGTTTTAGCTCTGAATTCTTTCCTAGCCAGAGCTCAGGTACCGAGTTTGCTGACCCTGCCAGTCAGACACCTGGTGCTGTTTGCTCCTCCGCCAACAGCACCACTGGAAGCTAAATCACTGCACTGAAACCTTTCCTGCTACTCAGAATCAACTGGGTTTTACTCACAAGAGTGTAGGGATAGACAGCCTGCAACTGCTCAGCTACGACCCTCAGCTTCTGTCAGAGGGTCCGCAACATCCCAGCAAGTGAAGCTGGGCAGAGGCTGAGCCCTGTGTGAGGTCAGGCATAGTGACTGATGTAGCCAAGCTGCCGGCTCAGTTGGGGACTGAAAAATCTCTCTCAGGGGCCCTGGACTGGGTCACAAAAGCTCAGAAAAGCCCCCTTCCTGCCACTCTAATCATGGCTGCATTTTCCTCATGTTTCCAATGAGTGGGTTAGACTTAGCTGAGCAAACTCTGAGCCTCAACTTCACTGATAAGAAGTGGAGACTCAATATCTACCTCTGAAAATTGTCAAGAAGGTTGAAAAGAAAATGCACATTCTGGTCTTAGTAAACTGTAGGCATCGATTAGCTATCGGGGGGCTAGAACTGCCAGGGACTTTAGGGACAAGGACTGGGTTCCAGAGAACATTCTTCTTACCCTTACCGGGTGGGGTCTTTGGGGATGGCGTGGTTTTTGCTGGAATCCTGGTGGCATTGGCCGGGCCTTTCTGGCCTGGAGGGGCTGCTCCCCGGGGTGTGGCAATCTTCGTTCCAGTTTTAGTATCTGCCCCCTGTAAACCGAAGCAAGGTAGAGTGGTTTTTGCCACTGGGAAAGGTTATTGTCACCTGGAGTCGATGCCAGCCCCAGCTCAACCACTTTGACTCAAACTGAGACCAAGATTGGGGTGACCCTTTGTCTATAAGATGTAATGAATATCTCCTACAATCGCAAGGGTTTGCTGGGCACACAAACCCACATTCCCACCCAAATGCCAAGCGCTCTGAATACTATTTCCTCCTAGAGGAACTGTTTACATGAGTTATTGGCATGAGTTGTGCTAATGTATTTTACAAAAGGCCGCAGAGCCTATAGCGATGATCAGGTTCCTTATCCACCTGGGGCCAGTCAATAGGCAGAATGTTAGGCCATTCCCACGTGGACACCCGTTTTCTGACTCTCCTTCGGGATCTGATGGTGATTGGTTTCACCAGAGACCCTCGAGGACACTTTGTTGAACCTGACCAAGAGTGCTAACAGCTAGGCCGTATGCTTTTGTTCTCTGGCAAGCTCAGGTGCGCTACACCAACATCAACGAGCAAACTGGCCCAAGGCTGAGCAGGTGCACAAGCACGGCCAGTGGGCAGTTCCTGGGGTCGGTTACCCAGTCGAAAACCTGGTGCATAGCACACACTCAAAACAATCTGACATTAACCAAGGACCTAAAGGTGGTTCAGGAGGGAGCAGTCTAGTGGGACAGGCGTTGCTGCACAGGGAGGCTGGTATCCAACCCAAGAGTCGGAAATCTGGAAGCACGCCAGTTACCAAACCCAGAAACAGACAAAAGAGCCCAATTAGAGCAGCGATTTTCCCTCAGGTGTCTCAGGGGCTGCTGCTATGAGGCACTATGGGGAGCTCAGAAGGATGGCGCAGAGTCCCCATCCCCATTTCAACCAGAATTTTAACCGTTCCACATGGTGCTTTTAGGTAAGGGCTTATCTGAAGAAAGGTCTTTTCAGCTAAGAAGAAACGTACATTTGAAAACCACGTTAGAGCAGCCTGATTCTTTTCAAAGGTGTTTTCCTTACCTTGACTTTCATCTCCTTTGCTCCAGAACCGCCGGTTCGGGGTGTGACAGAAGAGACGTGTTTAGGAGAGGAGGATGGCTCTGGGCACACGGCAGGGCTGGAGGGTTTGATCAAAGGGTCTGAGCTACCAGGAGTGGGGCGTTTGGGGCTAAGGCAAGGCCTATTGTTCAGGGTTTTAGCAGAGGAAGGTGTGGATGTCTTAAACATAAACATAAATAAAATCAAAATAAAAGTCAGCACATGGGGGAGGGGAGCAAACTGAAAAAGGACAGTAACTAAAAATAAGGCAGGTAATGGTTTACAGCAGCGATCTCCAAACTGTTTGGGTCATGTGCCCTTAACAGCCCTCATCAGTAAGAACAGAAAGGGACCCCGTGAGCTCATACTTGTTCAAAGCTATACCATGATACCAACATATGATATACATTATAGAACTTACATGTGGCAACGTTTAAAACCGAAGTTCTAGAATGTTCTTTAGCCCATTGGGTTTTCTTGTGCTCCACCCCCCACTTTGGAGACCACTGATTTATAAGTGTTTCATGCCCAAAAAGTTGGAGATCGCCAAAGTAGACGATCCTAGGATGTTTCTCAAACACCTGCAGTGTGTTAAGGGTCAGCGGTGCTGCACTGTCTGCCCAGTTCCCGGTGCTGAGCTCAGGCTGCCCTGCTCACCTCCGGAGCCCTTCCATCTCCCTGACAGACTTGTACTTGCTAAAGTCAGGACTAGGCCTGTTTTAAGTCTTAAAGATTCTGCCCAGCACCACTTAGGTTACACACACACACACACACTTTCTGATTAAAACCTCAAGTAAAACTAACACAGTCTGGTGAATCCTAACCTGGCCAATGTTTACTCTGGTACACGTTCCACTTAAAAGCAGCCTGATTCTTTTTCTGGATGGGGCAGGTGGCCAATGGGACAAGTCTTTGGGAGCTGATGACCTCACAGAGGCAGCTGCACTTGACCGATGGTGTGGCTGGCACCTGTGGCTTGTCCTAACTGCCTCTGGGGGACTTAGACCAGGATGTGTGGCCCTGGTGGAGGAGGGGGGCTACACCTTTAGGAATTAAACCGAGGACCGGTATAAATGTGTTTCAGAGAGGGCCTGAGTGACAGCGCAGGTCCTGACTTACAGACTTTATCAGGTTTCTCGGGTTTGTTCTTCATCACCCTTAAATTCCCCACTGAAGTGGCCGAGGCCCTCTCTGTGGCCAGCCTTGGCGTGGAGGACAGCCCAAGGGATGGAGTGTGAGGGGAGGGATGGGGAGGGATGCAAGCTGAGGCCCGGGGCTGGTGAAAAGGAAGAGAAGCTGGGGGTGGGTACTGGCAAGGCCCCCTTCCCCAGCTGCACAAGGCAGTGCTCCCTACCTGGCCAAGGCTTCTGAGAGATCTAAACCCTCGCTGTGAGCCTGTGAGCAACTCCAGGGCAGGGACATCGTACCCATGTGTGGGAATGAATGAATGGATGAATGCCATGCATGCATGAGGCCCAGATTCTCCTAAATGTGCATCACGATTGACAAGCAGTTATTGCTACCACTTCAAGCACGTAGGGTAGAGTCCCCAAGTGTCTGCAGGACCCTTAGCCAATTCACAGGGTCTTGTGCTGTGAAACCCTGACTTCCTACAGGGCAGGCGCTTTGGGGAGTGGCCCTTAACATGCTACCATTCTGCACCTGGGGACTCCAGGGCTCCAGGACTGATGAACACCCAGGCCTTTCAGGTGGAATTGATAATGGAAATTTTAGGTGCCTTTAAGAAAAACTGGTCTCCATTTAGGGCCACAGTGGGATTTTCTTGGAACAACACTACTGTGCAGGTACAGGAACGTTTTCCAAGAATAAAAGTCATTGAGGGGAGTAAACTCCAGCTGATAGGAAGTGCTGAGGAGGGACATGGCCCTGGGTGCAGTGCTGGTGGTGGGCAGCTATTTCACTTACTGGTCCTGGATTCCCTTCTGAAGACTGATGAAAGCATAACAGCAAATCACCGCCTTGGTGAGATTTGAAGCTGCATCTGCTGCACCATCGCTGCCACACTTGTCCACTTAGCATTCAAGGTGCCGGGCTTCCCTCCTATGTCAGCCCCACCCCCACCCCGATCTGCTTAGTTCTCGGAAGGCACGTGGCCTCTCTTCCTCATGCTGTTCCTACTCCTGGGACTCGGTTTCCCACTCCTGCCTCACCAGCCCTCCTTATAGGTCCTCTCTTCTAGGGCTTTTCCAGAACCCTCTGCATTAGGTTGGAGATCCCTTCCTTGCTCAACCCCCTAAAGAGATGGTATTTCCTATCGATGCGTGTGTATGTATATGTATTTGCTGAGCTCAGACCTGCAGTGGGAAGCGGATGATGCGAGGAATTCAAATTTTATTGCAGAAAGTTCAAATGCACCTTCATTTACCATGAACAGCTCATTCAAACTAGGCTAGTGGGACTGCACCTAGGAGCACGAATTTATCAACCTGCCTACGGCCCTTCCCTGGCCTATTTAGGTTTAAAATGGGTGAATGCTGGAATTTTATGTTTGCATAAAAACACAAAGCACTTTGAATGACAGCTGTACTTCAGTGACATACATATATATATATATACACACGTTATATATAAACATTAACTCGGATATAAAGCACAGCCTCTCGATAGACTCGACGGCAGCAGACAGTCCGTCGCTTCAGCAGCTTACCTTGGTTTTCTTGTCATCGTTTCCAGCCCCATCTTTGCCTTTACTGACCATGCGAGCTGATGAAATATAAAATGAGAATGTACGTTATACCCATTTGCACGGCTGATTTCTCAGGGTAGTGAGACGTGCTTTGTTCATCTGGGCTCAGTGGAAACCCACTGATTTTCTTCCCCTTGAACCTGTTAGGTCTCTCACTGCTAGTATCAACACAGCACTCTGGGGTCATTGCTTGGAGCACCCTGACGAGGGGGCAGCAGGCTAGCCGAGGGTGGGGACATGCAGAGGGGACAAAGGAAACTTCTGGGCACCCGCTGGCATAGGGTAGGCGCTCGCCTTTCACAGGCTCCCTTCCTGCCTCGGCCTGGGCCAGCCTCCCGGAGCTGGGGCCAACTCCTCTCCAAAAAAGGGCACTTGACAGTTCCAGGGCCACAGATGGGGTAGCTCAGCCTGGCTCTGGCCCCCTGCAGAACCCTCTGCTCACGCTGTCACCCAAGGGTCAGGGTGAGTGAGTTGTCTTCCCAGAGCGAGCCCCTCACTAAATGGGGGCTTTGGTCACCAGCCCCAGCTGTTTTCTAGTGAGCCCATCCCACCCCTGACCCAGCCCTGGAGGGTCTTCTCACCACCTATAGGCCCTCCCAAGGGGCTAATCCTTGCCATTTCCCTGAAATAGCTATAAACTGGTTACCATAACCTATCCCCTGGATAACCTCTGGATTTTAGTACTAAACCATTGACCATTTTTGTGTTTAGAAAGCCATACCCCTTGGTGAAACCAATCCACTTGTCTACAAGCGTCACCTCTGCCTCACCCTCTCCTGTTGACAGTCATTGTTGAAGACTGGTTATAGAGTGGTCAGTGGTTTCAATATCGCATTACCCTTGCCCCAAGGACAATGGGAACTCTTGGAGCTGCTCACTGGCTACTGGAGACTGGATTTTCAGAGCGACCAGCATTGATGATGTACCCCAGAGGTTTTCAGATTTTACTGTGAAGAATCACCAGGAGAGGTTATTACAATACAGATTCCTGAAACCACCCTGAGACTCTATAAACCTAAGGTGGAGCCCAGGAATCTTGTTAAAATACAGATTTTTAACAAGAGGCCCAGGTGAACCTGATTCACATAGTTTGCCCAAATCAATCATCATCATGCCTGTCACAACCAAAGAATCTGCTAGATCAGCATTTCCCAAATTGGGGGACTACTGAACAGGTCCTCTTCCAGGAGTGTGAGCAGATGAAATCAGATAACTTTGGGAGATTCATACTATGGGTCCTTCTCAGAGGGTTAAAATGTGTAGTAGAATATTAAAGGCTCTGACAAGTCCTGCACCAGCAAACCCCATTTAACTTTGTTTAGTCTGTTTTTTTCTAAACTTATTGAACCATGGAACTCTCTTGTTTTTTCCTGGACACACCTATCAGCATCCAGTAGACCTAGGATTCGATAAAACATCATTCTCAGGAAACTTATCATTTGTCAAGCCACAGTTATGTCCCCTACTATTCTGGAACTTAGGATATTTAAAAATAGGACATAGAATTTTTCTGTTCTAAAATTTAAATATAACTTCCTTTATCTACAATAATTTCCAAGTTTTCTTGACAAGTAGGACCGAATCAAAATTTAACAGACATTTGCAGTTGACAGCTTAAGTAGCATCAACTCCTGAACCCTGAAAATAATTCTAAAATGCTAAAGGTCCTAAATGTATGAATGCACCAGACTTGTGGCCACGAAGCCTCCTCTGGGATGTAAACTGTCCCCTCTCTGACAGGACACAGACCTCGACACTTGGAAACTTCCTCTCCCGCCTCTACAAAGGGCTACTGTGGTCTTGGGTCCCAGGGCTCAAGAGGAGGAGGTGCTCGGAACAGGAACATTTTGCTCCTGTTCGTTGACCCTCCTGCCACAAGGCAGGGCTGGTGGGGGTGGGGATTGTTGAGCCAAAGGCTCAGTGTGGGCTCCTGGCCACCTCCAAGTGCTTGTGTGTGTCACCTGCTGAAAGTAATGCATTGTCCACTGACAAGAGCAGCAGAAGACAGACTCATGCCCTCTGCGTCTCTGGGCTAGGAGGATACGCTTCAGAACCTTCTGGAAGTCATTGTGGTGTGCAAGGAAGAGGGCCGTTTCAGAGCAGATCTACCTGGACTCTGAACCTGGCTAGGCCACTTGGAACTCGGTAACCTTTACCAAGTTACTTTACCTCTCCGAGCCTCAGTTTCCTCATCTGCAAAGTGGGGCTAATTCCACCCACTGTGGGGGGCGGATTGGGAGGGTTCTAGACAATGAATTAAAGGCACATAATAAGCCCTCAAAAGTAGGAGCAGCTGTTATCCTATCTGGAGTACAGCCCACCAACCTCCCGTGGGCTAATGGACTGCTGTGGATACACCAAGTGGTGAGAGAGACGAACAGGGCAGGAAGCACTGGGTGGGTGTTGGTGACATGCAGAGTGGCGGGCAAGCGTGAGAGGAGCACGTGCGGCCAGAGCCTGAAGGCAGGAGATGGCCGTGGGAGGGTGGGCAGCAGGACCCGGGGGGCCGGTTTAGTGGCTGTTCCTAGGAACCTTGGAAGCAGCAGGAGTCAAGGGGGGGGCCGGAAGCTCAGTGGCAGTGCCTGCAGCCTGGGTGGCACAGGGGTCACCGGGAACAAGTGGAGGAGCTCTAGGCACAGACCTTTGAGTTGAGGGACCCGGCTGACGGGCTTCCCTGGCAGACCAGCTGCAGGCTGCTTTTCAGATGGTTCTGGAAGGTCAGTCCTTTTTGTGTCCTCTCCCTCAGAGGGGCTCCGGGGCTCTGGATCCTCTCCAGGGGGCCCCGGAAGCGCAGCCCCTTCCAAATCCACCTCTGAATCTCCCTGTTCCTTCTGCACATTGGCTCTGATCTCCACGTGGAACGTGAACTCGGGGGGCCCGTCGTGCCCTTCCGTGGGCCCTGCGCTGGGCCCGTCGGGCTCTGACACCTGGGGCTCTGTGTGAACTTTGGGGAGGAAATCAACAGGAAGGGGGATGGCACCCTCAGCTGGGAAACCAGGGGTGCCAGTGGCTTCTCTGGAAACTGTCTGGGGGGGTGGGCCGCCTCGGGTTGGGGACCTCTGCAGACGTGGGGAGACCTGGGAGGGAGGGGACTCCTGGGACGAAGAGGACTCCTGGGAGGGAGGGGACTCCTGGGGCGAGGATTCATCGATGTCTCGATCTTCATCGACCTCCTTACCCCCCAGCCTCTCTTTGCCTTGGTTCCCCTTCAGAGGCAGCCCCTCTTGGTGCAGGTCCCCCAAAAACTGGTGTTCCAGCAGCCCCAGGCTATGGAGACTTCCCTTTGTATCCTCAGGTCCTGTCCCCAAAGGCTGGTACATGGCTTCTCTGGGGCCTTCAGGCAGGATGGGAACCCCAGGCATGTCAGGCACATGCTGGGGGGTCAGACTCAGGGTCCTCGGGTCCATGGCCGCATCTCCATGGCCCCTCAGCTCTCTGAGGACGCCGTCCTGGACAACCTCTGACTGCAGATGTCCAGGGGAGGTGGGCTTCAGAAAAGCCAGCGCCTGCTCAGCCTGGTTCCCTTGTTTCAGTCCCCACTCCTGGTGGGGCTCTGGAAAGCCTCCTGTTGGAGGAGGCGGCTGGCAGATGGGATGATGCTGAAGATGGTGAGAGACTTGGATAGGACCTTCTGGCTGTTTCTCTCCCCAAGGCGGCATGGAGACCCCAGGTGCTTCTCTGCTGTGTCCAGGCTGAGCCTGAGAGCTAAGCCCAAGGGCCGGGGGCCTCTCAGGCACCTCCCTCCGCTGACTGGAAACTCCCAACTCCTCTGGGTTTGAAGAGGCAGCAGTGGCAAAAGGTTAGCAGGGGCTCATTGATTAAGAGGGAACACACTTCTTGAAATAAGAGAAGGACATTTAAACAACACCGCAAGCCCACATACTAGGCGCTCACCCTCGTTGTTTTTGCTTGGTTGGAATGAAAACTCTCTTGTCTACCTGTCACCAGCTCCAGGTGACCCTGCGTGAGCCCCTCTCTGCAGGCCTCGGTTTTCTCATCTTGGGCCTGGTGACCTCCAAGGCCCCGTCTAGCGCTGGCATCATTCCTCTGCCTACGGCGGGATCTGGTTGGCTCAGAGCACGTCAGCATACCCGGGGCTGCGGGCCTGCTGCGGGTGCCCCATGCTGACTCCACTGGGCTACAGAAGCTCCTCCTGCTCTTTAGGGACACTGGGCACCCAGGAGATTCTGGCCTCTAAGTGGAACCTGGCTTGGGTGCAGCAAGGATCTCTTTTCCTCTCCCTCTCGCTCTGTTACCCGTTTTGCCAAGTGAAACCAGCAGGGGACCACAAACAAACCCTGCTTCAAGCCCATGCTCTGACAGATACAGAAAATCCAGAATTTATCATCAGGGCTCAAGACTTTGCTAACAGAGCTGCTGTAAGCGTCTGGTAAACAGAACCATGACTCAGATTTATCCAGTCATGGATCATGGGCAGGCCTTTTGCATAAGGTGAGGCAGGTCCCTGTGGCAGGAATGGGCGCTGTGTGGCCAAGTCGCCAGCCCTCAGGGACTGCTGCTTTCACTTGCTCACACAATTGGCTGTGTGCCAACCCAGCCGCTGAAGGGCACACTTCATTTTTTTCTGGTTCATTCATGTGAATCATTAAAGTATCTGACTGTGTATAAGGACAGGAAAGTGAGGCTCTTGGTTCTTCTAATAAACATTTTTTTAAAACTCCCAACCCTTTGACAATCCTACCTGGTCCCAAGAGAATAACTCACATAACTCCCCAGGTCTCCTCTCAACAAAACCTAGAATCCCAAAGGATTCAGCAAGAGAAAGAGATCAGATCGGGGAGGGAAGGAAGGTGGGAGAATGCATGTGTTCACACACGTGTACAGTTGTGAACATGCATGGGTAACTCATGACTACCCCTCTCTCCCCAGCCCAGTTGGAATCCATATAGCTGCTTACTGCCATGAGGCCCAGCCTTGGCTCACCTTGGCTCACCTTCGCCTCCCACTCTTATGCGGGGCCTAGAGCTCATGACCCCCTTCATTCTGTGTTCCTAGCATCCACCGCTGAGCCTGCACACAGTAGGTGATCAATAAATGAATCCTGCATGGATGAACCAAAGTCAGGCAAAGGTGGTGCTTTCAGCTTTTCAGGGTTTACAGGCACCTTACTGGGGCCCTTGGTCGGCATCAGATGTCAGAAAAATTTAAACATTCAGTTAGCACAATAATAAAGTTTCCAGAAAAGCTATGGGCCTGATATCTTCATGGTGTGGAATATGTTTTAGGGGCATGTAGACACAGCCTGCAATAAAAATTTGTAGGAGAAACTCAAATTCACTTGTTATGGAAATAAACGATCATTTCCAAAGGTTCTAGAAGCTTCTAATATTACCTAAGCTGAAAAATGGTGAGCTAAAAGAAATAGGAGGCGGGATTACAGTTATTTAGCACACAGACCGAGGGTTCCCCTTATACTGACTAGCCCTTCTAATATTTTTTAAAACTTTGTAAGCTTATGAATAAAAACATACTTCTCTGTGCCACGTGAGATGAGAAACATGGGGCAGGGACCCCTCTGGGAGTAGGAATGTGTGGTTAGGCCTCAAAATACCGTCAATGAGACATTTCTTCAGGACCAGACACTTCTTAAAGCCAAGATGGCCTTGTGGTGGGAAACACTGGCTAAACCCCATTATCACTTTCTGGAGAAAAGAACAGCGTCTTCCCAGCACTTTTGCAACCCAGAAGCTTCCACATTACACAGTAAACCCTGAAGTTCATTCACACAGCAAATGATAGAAAACAAACCCAGCCCACGTTGTATCAGAGGTCTCCCTTTCCTAAGTTTTTAAATCCTAGAGGTTCTTGAAGTTCTTAAAGCATTTATGCAAAATGATTATAGAAAGTTGCTTTTCTTGAACACAGCAGTTTTGGTCCCTGAGAAGAAAATCATAATAAGGTTTGGTTTGCACAGAAGAAAGATGAAAATAGTCTGGTGGTGATATGGCTGAGGCCTTGCTCCCAGGACAGACCAGAGGGTACAGCCTGTGGGGAGGATCGCCCATCAAATGTATTTGCGTTTCTGTTGGACACTTATTCTCGACTACCCAGGTTGGACAAGACAAGCTTTTTTTCAGAACACTAAGCACCTTAGGGATGACTCAGAAATAGTGTTAGGAAAAAAGTGTTAGAGCTCTTTCTATATCTGAATAGCCCAACTTTAATAAGCACCACCTTCTAAAAATCTCCCGGACCCGTGAACTGGGGCCCAGGTCCAAATTCTCTTTTCAGGGTAGAGTCCATCTGAATGTTGCCATCTCCCTTCTCCCAGCCCCTAAGCCTTGGCAGGCAGTTCCAGCCACTGACCTTGAGTCACATGTCCAGCCGCTTGGTCTTCCAGGTTGGGGGTGTCTCCAACACCTGCTTCCTCAGCTGGTTTATGTGTCGGCAAATGAAGGAGATAAAAGCACAGTTAGTGTGTGCTAAAAACACAGCTCTCTGCATCTTTCTGTATTTTTTCTGAAAACAGTAAAAAAAAAAAAAGGCACCTCTTACGAGTAGCAGGGGGCTGCATACCTCTGGCTCTCTGAAAATGTTATTGCTGGGGACGTTGATGAAAACAGTTCATTACACAAACCCCACACACCCACACACTTTACAGCTGACCACAATCCAGTAGGAAAGACCTTCCCCACAGTGGGCCCAGAGTCCTGAGGCCCCCGCTGAGCAAAGATGCACAGGATGGGTGAGGTCAGAGGAGCAATTTGCTGCTAGTCACTGCCAGGGGACCCGTGTTCAAGTGTCAGTGGCAGCCCCAGCTGGGGTGGAGGTGCAGGGAAGGACTAGGCACCATTGTTCACTGAACCTCCCCAAGCCTCCACTTCCTCACCTAAACCTCAAGGTGATGCTACCGATTTGTCTTGTGGGAGTGGTGTGGATTAACAGGAGAATTTGTGTGAACGTGTTTAGCAAAGCACCTGGCATATGGTAGGTGCCCCAGAGCTGTTTGGTTCGTTTTCTCTAAACTACTGGGCAAACCCTTTAACTACATGCCCAGAATAGGTACTGCCTGGTTAGAGGGAGGCCAGCAGTGCCAGTGAGTATTTGAGGGAACCACAGTGCACTCTAAACAAAGAAGACTGAGCGAAGTTTCTGACCAAGTCATCAATGTTACTGAAATCAATAAGCTTCAAAACAATTCCAGTTTCTCCATGATAAATCAGGATATTGCTACAGGGCAATGAAGAGAACTGTCCAGAAGAAAGAGTCTATAAGGCCATTCAGCCACACATTCACATGTGCTGGTCTCAGGAACCCAGTGATGGAGAGGCCACCACCTCTGAGAAATGCCTGTAAGTTATTGGCTGGGCCAGTAGTCTTTTCTCCAGACCTGCAATGACTCAGTGTCTACACCTAGGACAAAAATGACAAGTTACCGCCACCAGCCAGCACAGGCTCACCATGGAGAGCATGGAGGAGGGAAGAGAAAGACACTCTGGGTCTCTGGACAGCTACGAGATGAGCCGTATAAACCCCTGGCCCATTGACTGTCCCAGGGCAGCTGTGGTGAGAGGGGCTGGCGGTGGGCTCGGGAAACTCCCCGTCTGCCAGCTCATGGAACAACCACCCTCTGGGCCTCTGCAAGCTGACACTGCTGCCTGCGAGGTCTAATGGTGAGAGCTCCATGTCATTTGACAAGACTGTCCAGGAGGCACAGCTCCAAGCATAGAATCAGAGTTTATGGAAGGAAAGCTCAGAGTGACAGCAAGTGTGCAGCTGAATGGCAAGGAGTCCTGGAGACAGAGCAGGAGGAGGCATGCCAGGATGACATCACCACTGTGGCACCGGGAAGTTGGCAGCTTCCAAGTGCCAGTGCAGGGTTATGATACCCTGGCCTTGGCACAAATCTGAAATCGGAGGCTGCTGATAACTCTGATGACCCCCAAAGCCAGCAAGGGAGTGCTCAGAGACGTCACAGGGAGGCAGGGAGGGGAGGAGGGTGTGAGACCGCAGCTGGGACATTCCATCACTCTATGGCCTCTCTATATCCTTGAAGCCTCCAAGAGGCAGGGGCTCCCACCCCAGCACACAGGGATTCCTACAGTGGGGCAGCCACACCGCACCCCAAAAGGACGTCAAATGAGAAGTTTTCAGTGGAGCACCAAGATACAGCAAATGGGACACGACAAATTGAGGTGCTAAATGAAGGTGCATATTGTCAAAGTCAACAGCTGAAACTGAAACCTCCCATGTCCCCAAGGAGGTGAAGGGTGGAGAGGAGGGAGGGAGGGTAATTTTGAGGATTTCCTTGGAGAGAACAGACTGAGGCTCAGGCCATGTAGCCACTCCCATCTCAGTTCCAGTGAAAGGGGTTCAAGGTACCACTGGGAGACACTTGGGGTGTATCCTCTAAGGTTAGGAACATGGTGGACGGCTGTCGGAACCCTACCTGGGAAAGTAGAGGAGAGAGGCTGGCCCTGCTTTTGGGGGGCAGGGCGCAAAGGAGCATGGTGGTGGCCCTGCTGTCTGTCTGCAAATCACAGTTTGGGCAAAGGATGTCTGTGTTTCCCACAGACCTGATGTGGGCACAAGACAGTGACAGTGTGGGGTCACATTAGGTTACCAACAGGAGCAAGCCGACCTCTACAGGGGTGATGCCGGAGGTGGGTCTTCAGCCCCTGGGAGGAGCAGAGGAGAAAGGAAATGCCTGTTTGAATCAAGTGCACAGGAGGGACCTTCAGTGGGGACAGCTGGGTGGGAGGAGTCTGAAGAATTCCAAACAGGTCCCCATAGAGAAAGGGTCAACTCTAAACACTGCAAAGAGGACCGAGCCAGCAGCTCCGGGCAGTGCCAACCCAGGGAGAACCTCCCGTCTGCCTGCCCTCTCCCCTCCCCAGCACAGAGGGGAGGGGCTGCAGCCCCGAATGAGCTTTGACCTTTACACCCAGTGGACATTTTCTAATCAGCATCTGCAGACTGTTTTGTGGCTAAGGAGACTAAAGTCCTTTTGATTACCTAGGAGTGATGAAAGCGGGCTAGAGTTTTCATACCGGGCAGAGGAAGAGTCCCTGCTGGATAAATGTAAGGGACAGAAACCAAGGGACTCATGATCTCATCCCAAGAGTTGTTCCTTGGCCTTCAAATGACCTTCACTGTCAAGGACGAGGCCTGCCGGGCTCTGAGAACATTCCCTTCCACCCCTCAGGAGACCAACTCCCAAAGCGGAAACTGCTTTGAAGGGTCGGGTGGCGCTGCTTGGCCCCTGCATGAGCCTTCTCGGCACGTGGCACCATCTAGGAAGGAAAGGCACTCCTGCCTGGGGCATTTCCCCACTCTCCGCTGCTGGTGAAATCCTGTCCCGAATTCTTCTGCACTTCTTGCCGAGCACCCTCCAATCACCAAGTCGAGGGCTGGAGTCTTTACATAGCCCACCGGAGGGGACTGAAGGAAATGACAGCAGGAGCTCTGGGCTGTGCTAGCCATTTCCTCAGGGCCCGCCAGCTCTCTCGTGACGCTGGTGACCCCGAGTCCAGGGCTATTTCTGGTTGGTGCCTACATGTCTGAGCTATTCCCCATGACTCGTATTGACAGGACAGCCTCGTCATGCCTGTCCTATGCAGATACGTTTGAAAAGATGGTCGCAGGACTGAATGTTAGATTATGTCGCTGAACTCCTCAGGGGCTGTCCACTTAAGATCCTCCAAAGGTGTGGGCCAGCTGTCTGGTCCCTGCTGCTCACTTGGGGCTTCTGGTGGCAAACTGCCCCCTGGGAGGTGACCCCGTCACTGGGCAGAGTCTGAGCAGGAGGTGGACTGACCTCAGGGGTGAAGGCAGGATCTGTCACCAGCCTGCCTCAGAGAGCCCTGCGGAGCTGATGCACTGACTGAGGTAGGAAAAGAGAAGCTAGAAGGAATGCAGAGGTCCTCTCTCCCTTGGAGGCTGGCAGGCAGCCATGGAAGCAACAGGATATCCGGGCATCAAGTTGAGAACCACCCAAGAGTCCCAGAAGTCGGTGTCCGCCCACATTCCTGCCTCACTGAGATGAGCATAACCCCCCACACCCTTCCCTCCAGCAGGTCGGCGGAGCACCGAGCCCTGGGGGCACCCTCACCTGTGGTTCCTTCTGGGATCTCCGTGTGGGGCTGAGTGGCAGCCTGCTTGCCCGGGACTCCCTCGTCCACTAAGGGTGCTGTCATGTCTGGAAACCACTGTAAATCACCTTTGGGGGGCCTGGATAAGCCGTGCTAAGCCCCTCACCTTGCTTCGAGTGCTGCAGCAGTACAGGGAGGGGAGGCAGGAGGGAACTCAGCCGCATGCAAAAAAGCCACGCCACAAAGCAGGCCCAGGCCGCCCTGCCTGACATCTCCCAGGAAGCACATTAATATTCTGCTTGAGTGGCACCAGCCCATGAGACGCCCAGGCCATGTGCCAGGAAAGCCAGGGACAGCCCCCGTGGAAACACAGCAGTGAAAGAGACTGCTGGGGACGGTTCCAGGGGTAAAGAAGAAGTGTTGAAAATCAGATGACTGTTCACGGATGTTTGATTCTTAAGGTGGTGCAGGAGAGGAACTGGGACTAAGGCAGGGCAGGGACTCTGGGGTTAGGGACGGGGTCTATGGCTTTGCTGTGAGGCTTTGGGCAAGTCCTTTGTCCTCTTTGTGCCTCAGTTTCCTCATCTGCAAAATGGGAGTATCGTCTCCAGGTGACCTCCAAGGTTTTCTTCAGCTTGCCCTGTCCCCAAGGCCATGACCCATGGTTAAGAAGCACAAGGTCTCTTCGGTAGCGATGAGCAGGCCTGGTGCTGTCCAGCGCCAGGTGCTTGACAACAGGCATGCAGACAGGTCCACCTTCAGTGCAGAGACCTCAGTTGAAGATCCACCACCCGTCTGATGAGTTGCTGCCCATCTCTCATCAAGGTGAATACTTCCAAATCGACATTCATCCCCGAGCTATGCCCTGGCACACTCCCAGGTCGTTCTGGGCGAACATAAAGAGTTGGCAGTGCTAAAAGCTGTCCAAGAGCCTGAGTCAGTTTAGACAAATCGAGTCCATTTTAATTACGGTCTCGGGAGCAGGCAGAACAGCCCTGCCCTAGCATGGCCCCTTCCCTGTGGGGTCAGAGCTGAGCTCTTGGGACCCACACATGTACAGGATCCAGAGTGCAGTGAGACTTGGTTGGAAGATTCTTCCAGAAGAATATTGATGGAACACTGAAGGCCACGATTGGAAGGCTGGCATGGATCTGGCATTAGTGTTTCGGGACTTTCTCAGGGAGGTAGGCAGCTTGCACAACTGTCCTAACAAGATTGGCAGGCTATGTCTTGCCTCACCAGCTCTAAGGGGAGCAAAGAGCAAATGGCCTGGTATTCTCTTCACCAGGCTGAGAATCTTGGGGGTGGGGAAAGGGCCATGCCTACTGTATCTTCCACAGATACACCCTTAGACCAAGCAGTTGGCAAGCACTTTCTGAATTCATCCAAGGTGGATGCTTGGGAAGATGCTGGGGCCAGGTTCTCATCCTGTGACACAGCAGCTAAAGGAATGGGCAGGGCCCAGGGAAGTGCTGAGAACAGCACCTTGCGCCTCCCTGGGAAGGATGAAGAGACGCAGGTGTAGACCACGGCCTGGTTCCTCAAAAGTCATCCTCAGTTCCCTTCTCCCTTGATTTCTCCTACTAAAGATGCTGAACAGCAAAATGCTTGATGTCCCAGTCTCCCTTTCAGCCAGGGGTGGCTACGAGACTCAGTTCTGACAAATGAGCATAAGTGGAAGTTGGCCAGGTGGGGCTTGCAGGACACCTCTTGCTTTCCTAATTAAAAGAGAACACTTTTGGTTTCAGGGCCCTTTGGGCCACTTTGCTACTTTCTTTCTGCTTTGAAGGCAGATGTGATGCCTGGAAGTGCAGCAGCCATCTTGTAACCATGAGGCAACCATCCAATCATTAAGGATGGCAGAAGATAAAGATAGAAGAGCATTGATGACACCGGGGACTGCCCATAGACATCTTACTATGTGAGACAAGTAAACCTCTTCATATATATGCCACAGTTCGTTGGGTTTTCCTTTACCTCAATCAAACTCAGTCTTGATTGACATAGGTGGGAGGTAAGAGAATGTGGTCAAAATCAGGACCAAGGAACACCTCAGGGAATATATGAGGAGCTTTATAATAAGCTGGATACCAAAAGTCTAGAGAGAGCAGGTTGAAAGATGGGCTAGAACTAACATGGTGGCCAATGTCCAGAGGCCCAGGCCAAGCCCAGGGCTCAAAAACTGAAGGATACTAAACCAAGCCAAGTCCCAAAGTGTGAGCTTGGGGATAGGCATTGACCTGCTCCTTTCCTTAGCCACACAGCTGCTCTGGGGCCTGGTGGCTCATGAAAGAGTGAGCTGGGAAAGAATATGGGGAGGACAACTGATATAGAGCAGGGGCTCTGAGGAGCTGTGCTAGGGCCCTGCTTTGCAACAGACCGCAGCCTCACCAAGTGCGGCTGCCTCAAAGCACACACATGATGAAGGTGCCCATACCTGGCACTAGCGGACAAGGCATCAAAGCAGGGCTTGGCTCCCCTAACATTCCCGAGCCACGCCTGAGCCATCCTGCAAGCACTGAGCGAGCATATCTCTCAGCCAGAGGGAGAGGTAGCAGCAATGCAGCCAGGAGGGGTGGCACGCATGGGCTTAAAGCATGGTGACACGCAGGCTGGCACATGGGAGGAGCTGCTGAATGAAGCAATGAGAGGAAGGAGGCCCCACCTTCGGCTGTCGGGGTGCTCTTAGCATCAGAGGTTTCAGAGCCCAGTTCCTCCGATCCATCACCGGTGGGGGTTCGCAGGGGAGATTCTGAAACATACACAGTGAGCCCCTCAGAATGGCTGCCTCTCCCCACCCACCTTTGGACCTCAGGAGGAACTCAAGAGTGGTGTCTTTTAGAGTAAAAAATCACTCAGTGTGGAACCCAGATGGAGGGAACATGGCCATGTGATAAAACCACAAAGAAGACCAATCTCACCCCCAACACAATGGTGCCCCCACCAGGGTCATCAGGCAAAGACACAGATGATAAGCGGCTGTTCTTGGCGAGAGGAGACAATGCCTTTTAATCAGCTTGTGGTTCCAGTTGAGGCAAAGCTCTTGCATTGACAAATGGCAGCGGATACCAGAAAGCTATGCCACGTAGACCTGGGGCCCCGTCTTTCCTTACTGGAGAGATTCATGGGAGATCACTGTTATTAATTAAGGACAAGCAGAAAACACTTGGAAAATACTCAGAGCTTCAACTCCTTCCTCTGAAAAGGAATTAGCTCAGGGCAGACGCAGGGCCTACTTCTAATTGGACGAGTAGTACCTGGACTTCACCCAGCTCCTCTCATGAAAGGATCTCCAGGTACTGACTAAACAGCCTTGAGTGACACCTGAAATGTCAGCCATAGTTACTCATAAGAAAACTGTCCTTTCAGAACCTGAAGCCAGGAAGCTCTGGTGTGCTCTGGGAGAGCCACTCCACCTGGGGTGGGGCAGCCTTGGAGGCAGTTTCATCATAGGGGGCTGGTTCTGAGCACCAAGCAGAACCCCTAGATGAAAGAAGGCAAGTGGTGTCCAAGTGCACTGTGAGACCAGACACCCTGCACCCTTTGCTAAAACGCACTGAGCCCGGGCTGCACTCTTCCAGACAAAGAAGGGCTAATTCTAAACAAGCTGCAGGCACATACAGCTCCCTGGTCGTGGAGCTTGCAAATACCTGCAACTGCCTCAAACAGGCTTTGGACAAATGATGAGGAAGCATCAGGCAGACTGTCTGTGGGTTTTGTTATTATTAACCAGCCTTGACTGTGAGAGTGCAGGCAAACATGGGTGTGATGGGCCTTTAGCACACTTGCCCCCAAACACCCCCTCCTGCCCCCAATCTGTCCCCAGCCTGCAACCCTTATCATTTGCGTTATGCTTGTTAAATTTCTTGGAGCTCAGGAAGGAAAGAGGAGAAGCTTCTTCTGAATGTCTTATCTAGAAGGTATAACACGTTAACCCATTAACACCTTTTCATTCATTAGGGTGTCTTATTTGACATTACTAATAATTTTGAATAATCTGTCATTCAAAATAGTCTCTGTCACTTATCTAAAATGTTGCTAGTCAAGTGACACCTTCTGTCAAGTGACTCCCCTCGCTCCCCATATAAAAATAACTCATTCTAAATCCTTTGTAGCAAGAACACATTTGAGAACAATGGAAATCTTTTAGGTATTACTTGCTTTCTTGGAAAGTACAGTCTTTGGGTACGCAAACTGTCTTCAAATGCCTCCCTTTCACAGTAGTGATGAAAAGGTTAGCAACTTAAAATTTGCATATAAACTGACCCTTGAACAACATGGTTTGAACTGCGTGCATCCACTTATATGTGGATTTGTTTCAGTAAATACTGTAAATGTATTTCTCTTCCTTATGATTTTCTTAATAACATTTTCTTTTCTCCAGCTTTATTAAAAGAATACAGTACATAACATATAAATATGTGTTGATTGACTGTTATCAGTAAGGCTTATGGTCAACAGCAGGCTCTGAGTAATTAAGTTTTTTGGGAGATCAAAAGTTATATACATATTTTGGATGATGAAGGGGGTTGGCACCCCTAACCTCCAAGTTGTTCAAGGGTCAGCTGTATATATCATATGTCCGTTTTAGTATTAGAACTTCTGATCATGTTTTACATGAAAGAATTGAGTTGTTTTAGTGAACATACTTTAGGCAACTCTGAGACACAAAATAACGCAGTCAACTTGTTCTTATTGTACAAATTGAATTTAGTTTTCCCTTCAAAAAATAAGACTGGTGAAAACTTTTTTTTCTGGACCTTAAAAAAAAAAAAAAAAAGCTTTTAATTTGAGAACAGTTTTAGATTTACAGTAAAATTGCAAAGATAGTACAGAGAGTGTACCCCAAACTCAGTTTCCCAACTATTAATGTCCTTCATTATTATAGTACATTTGCTGCAACATAATCTATATTTTTAACTTAACTTCTAAACCAGGCAACCCTAAATAGAGCATCATTTTTCATGGGCAGAATTCAGTATGTTGTGATTCTAAGTTGGATTCCATCCATGAGAGTTTAATAAGGAGTTTAATAACTGAAGTTCCACGGGGACTTGGCCGAAAGAGTGACGAGAGGCATGCAGGGGGGACGTGTGGGCTGAGGTCCTCAGATGAGGGAGTGCTTAGGGCCCAGCTGCCTTCCATGATGGAGCCAGGCTGTGCCTGGGGGAGGTCAGAATACACATTTCTTGTTACCATGACACCAGGCAGGGAGTTCTAGGTGGATTGGGAATCCCCCCTCTACCTCCTCACCCAGAGCTTCTGGCTGGGCAGCCTCTGAGCCCTGGGGACAGCATGTCCACTCTTCCTCCACCTCCTCCAACTTGGAGCCCATGTGTCTAATTTCCAAGCTCCTGTGACTCTAATGTGTGTCCTGCTTAAACGCATACAGAGAAGCCAGCCTTTGAAACGAGGCCCCCTCCGATGAGTCCTAAAACCTTTCCAAGACAGGGACTGTTGCTTCTCTTGCCCCGCACCCAGGGCACCTCCTGGTGACCCGCCTCCTCCAGGGACACCTCCCGGATAGATACACCCAGAAAAGGTCCTTTCCCATGCTGGAGCTGTACCCCTTCCATTCACTATCCCACACCCCAGGTTGCAAAGTGTTTTTTAAAATTATTTTTAGCACTAAAAGAAAAAGTAGACTGTTTGCCATTGTGTCTCCTTAGAAATGGGTCTGGAGGCAGGGACAGGGTCCTTCTTACACTGAGGCCAGCTTAGTGCTCCTGGTGGGAATCGGGGACCAGCATGCAGAGCAGAAGAGAGGGCTGTGTGCTCCCTGAACTTGGTGGTCAGACAGTGAAATGAAACATATTTGTTTGGAAGGGGAGAGGAGGAGGCCAAGCTAATTTGGCCAGAAGATTGTATTTTAGAATATTTAGAAGTTAATACAATTTATTAATGCAGGTACAGTGGGAATCCCAGAGCTAACCTACTTGCCAAATAGGGCCCAGACAGGCCTGTGAGGAAGAGATCAAGATAATGGGTAAGGCCACATGCTTTGCATGCAAGTGAGTGCTGCTGATTTCTAAGTCCACAGGTGTGGCTAAAGACTCCAGAGAGCACCCTGTACTAATCAGACTGCAGCTTTGTCACACTGCATCTACTCATGTGGCACTCTCCTTTGGAAAGGTACATTTTCAAATAGTGTTACAATTTGAGTTATCTTGGCCCATTCAAATGATGAGGCTTCTCTCTATTGACAATCTAACCCAATAAAGTATTTAAAACCTCTTTCAAAATCTGGCTGCAAACCCTTCCTTGCCAGCCTTTTCCAAAGCAAGCAAGTTGGCTGTGATGCCCAAGGCTCCGGGACTCTGGTGCAGGGCCGTGCACTAACCTTTCAGGCCATGGTCCGTGTCGCCCTCGTGGTCTTGCAGCAGGGTATAGCCCCCCTGAGATGGGAGATCTTTCCTGTCCCCAAGCCCGTAGGTCCCAGCATGATCTTCCATCATGTTGAACTCCTGGCGGGGCTCAGCCATCCTGGTTCAAGGCCCACCTGGGGAAGGAAGATGCGAGGTTGAGGCTGGGATGCTGAGATGAGGAGAAGGTGCTTGGGGGGTAGGGTAGGGGGCAGGAAGAAGGAAGTGCCACCTCCCCAGTTCATGGCACTAACCTCCCCGCTAACCTCCCCAGCAACCTCAGCCCGAGATCTGCATCCCTGCCAAAGCGTTATTTACATGTATGTAGATTTTTTTTGGGGGGGGGGGGAAGTTTTACTAATTTTCATAGAGAGGAAAAGAGAAATAGAAATCATCAATGATGAGAATCATCAGCTGCCTCCTGCTCGCCCCCTACTGGGAATCGAGCCCGCAACCAGGGCATGTGCCCTGACCAGGAATCTAATCAGGGACCTCTTGGTTCACGGGCTGATGCTCAACCACTGAACCACACGGGCCGGGCTGGAGATAATTTTAAACTTAGAGGAGAGTTGTAAAAGCAGCCCAGCTGGTCATTTAGTTATTTTTAACCTTTTGAAATTCCTTTAAAATATATTTCCTTATATTATCTTTTATCTTTCTATCCTTTTAGGTTGCTTTATTTTGTTCTTTCCTTTTTCTTTTTGTAACTTCATAATTTCAATCTAAATTTAGTCTTTAATTTTCCTTTATGATTTGTTAATAGCTATCTCCTTGTGTTTCCGTTTTCTTTTCATGAACTTCTCTCAGTGGCACACAGGAGCCACCGGAGTGGGAAGTGGGTCAGGTCAGTAGCCGTCCAGGGAAGAGCTGATAACACTACTGCGAGCAGGTGGGGCCTCTCTCCTTCCTGCATCCTCAGCATCTAGCTCTCAGTTTCGGTGATCAATTAATAATGTCTCCATGGGAAAGGCGTGGAGGGCACACGTGGTGTCATGCGTCCTCTAAGTGAGTTATGAGTTGCAGAACATCTTAAAGTCCACAGTCTCATCTCTACAGGTGTTGGGCAACTCATATAAATGGTGAACTGCAAGGTGGAGGGTGCACCTGGGGCAGACCCTCCACAGAACTCTTCCAAGACTGGTGTTGGTGGAGGGACCGCCGGCTTCCGGCACTGTCTATACCAGCTGGCCACTGGCATACTCATCCCTCTCCCTCTAGGCAGGACCCGCTGGTGTGGGTGCCTGAGCTTCTCCATCCACGATGCAGGATAAGCTGGCGAGAGCCGGGATGGTCTAGGAAGGTTTAAGAATGAGGTCAGCGGGGCCTCTGCTGGGTGAGTCAGAAGAGGGTGGCTTGGCCCCACTTAGGCGGCTTGTAGAGAATGGGCGCCTTCCATTCTGACTGAGGCTCCTGTCCCTCAGAGAGCCCTGGGGAAAGGCATGAGACTGAGCTTCTCCAAACCTTTCACATCTCCCCAAGGATGAGCAGGGCTTTATTTTGAGAAGATAAAAGTCCCCATTCGGTTTTTAAGGTTTAGGATTTGGTGGTGATGTTCTCTACCCTTAGATATGCTGATGGTCTGTTTCCCTTAGAAAGAACCCCTTTCTGAAAGGCACCAGTTCCATCATCTGAGAGCTCAATGACTGCTTCCCACGCCCCTAGGAAGTAACGCCTTCCCCACTGCTTCCTGATGGAGCCCCTCTCAGGACATCCTGGGTTCACTGCCCCCCTGCTCATCCCTGGGACTCGCCAAGAGCCCCAGCCCGAGGGGGTGGAATCGGCCCAGGAGCTTGAGGCTTCCCAAACTTGCTGGAGACACTATACCTGGCCAAGGGGAGGCAGGCCAGCCGACTGAGCTAAAGTTTTAGTGAACGCTAAGAAGACGAAGGAGCCCCTGTGGTTCTGTCTTGAGATTTGTTGGATTCCTTGCAATGACTGAGTTGACCCTCCTGGAACATGGAAGATGGAGGTGCAAAGGTAAGAAGCTGGTGGCCTGGCTTCTTCTCCCATAAAACGCCAATTTCTATCCTTTGCTTCTCTGTTCAGGTCCCAGCGCTCACTGTAATGACTTGAGTGAGCTCTTATTTTATCAATCACATTAACCCTTTATCCTATTTGTGACAGATAGTTTCTCCAGTTGGTTGCCTTTTATTTTGGTTTCTTATGGCTTCTGACGGACAGTTTTCCATTTTTATACAGTCAAATCTATTTTCTTTTGTGACTTATTCCGTTGCTCTATGATACGTAAAGATCATCAATATTTTCAGCTATGATTTCAGTGATCTGATTCTTTGTATTTAATTTAACTGCACTGGGAAAGCAGATGTCCATAGGTACATAAATGAATGAGCATGGATGGTTGTGCTCCAATTAAAATTGATAATGGACACTGAAATTTGAAAGGCATAGAATTTTCATGTGCCATGAAATATCATTTTGCTGTGTTTTTTTCTTTACAACCATTTGAAAAATATAAAAGCCATTCTTAGCTCACGGCTGGATTTAGCCTCTGGGGCATAGGTTACACACTCCTGCTTTCAGCTTCTCTAGTATTTCTTCGCTCTCAATTGGAAGAAAAATCTGTAATACAAGCCTTAGCAAGAATCACTGTGTTTTGGTCACCTCCTGTATTCTCAGTGTGGCTTTTTGCATTTGATGTTGGGTTTTCTTCAGCTGCTTCTAGAATTTTCCATAAGGTTTCAAGTCAGGAGCAGGAGAACTAAGGGTCATTCCTGGGGCTTGAGGCAGCAGCCCATTGTTCTGGAGACTGGGGACATATCCATGGTGTAAGCCCTTCAGCTGCCAGGCGGCCTCATTCAGGCCCACGGAGCAGATGGTGGGGTAGCGGGTCTCAATGCCCTGGCTTCTTATGATCCCCCCTGCACCACCAACCAGCATCATCCCTGCAGGGCTGGAAAAAGTCAGATGCACTAATGGGAAGCTGAAGGAATTACATGGGCTGCTGGAGAAATTAAATCCTTAAAAACACAGGCAGCTACTCATTACTATGTAAAATAAATGAACTGTGTGCTTCTCAAGGGCCAATATTTTTCTTTGGGGGGAAAAAGTGAAATGCATGGAAGAACTCCCTAAGCAGGGGAGGTTCACCACGCCACCCCTCCCACCAATCTCAGCAATGCCCTAGGTTCATGGATCTTCTAAGTCAACGTGGCTGCAGCCCCAGGGCCTGGTACACAGTGGGTGCCACATGGCCCCTGTCAAAGGAGCTTGCTCCCTGTGGGCACCTCACAGGCTTGTCACTGGACCCTCACAGTGACCCTGCGAGGTAGCTATCATCATTGTCATCGGCATAGATATTAGGATTCCCATGAGGAATCTGGGAAGTGACCTGCCCGAGGTCACAGAGCCAGTAGGAGGTGATGCCAGGATGCAAAACCTGTGTCCTGATGGGACACTCAACTACCCCTTACTGCTTGTTCTGCCATCCTGGACCACAAAATGTTCCCCAACTTTCTGTTGGGCACAGGTCTGGGTGTGGAAGGAGCACTGTCCAGGACTCATACCCTGAAGCTGTGTGACCAAGTCACTTCCCTCAACCTCCTTCATCCACAAAATGTCACTCGTTGTCCTCTGAGCTCCCTTCTTGCTGTGACAATTTATTCTAAGTGGGTTGGCTGGGCCTGCTTCCCTCCAGTTCCAGAGCCCCGTGGTCATTCACAGGACAGGAAGAGGCAGGAGGCCCTGGCATCTTTGCCCTCCTCCTTCCATTCCCACCCCTCTCACCCCTGCCATCTTCCTCCCTGAGAACCAGGGCAGGATGATTTCTCTGGAAGAACTGGACAAAGAACATATAAACCAACTGACCACTGGCACAGCCCACATCCCAGCCCAAAGACTATCATGCAAAGACGGCAGACTGAAAAAACACAAGTAAGCTTGGCCCTGAGGTGGGTACACAGCCCAGACTAGACGTGGTCATCACCTGCCAGACCCCTGTAATCTAAGAGAGATACACAGACAGGAAAATAAACACACCGAGAGCTGTCTGTCTTTGTCTTTTTCTTCTAAATCAACTAATCTCTCCCCTCTCCCTCTCCCTTTGATTTCCTACCTCCTGTTTTCCCAGGCAGTGCCTTTAGAGGAAGCAGGGTGGGAGGGAGGGAAGAAATTTTAGGAAAGGCACAAAATTTGAGTTAAACCTGGAAACTAAAACAAGCCACTCTTTAGGGACCCTCAGAAAAGGACTGCATCCTGACAAGAGAAAACGTGGACCAGAGGCTCCTGGAGTCTGTCCCTGTCATTTTGTAACTGCGTAAACTGAGGCCCTCGAGGGGAAGGGGCCTGTGGTGCCATCCTGGTGCCTCGTCCTACAGGGTCACATCCCCCAGTCCCAATGCTGCCCTGCCATATGCAGAGTGAGGGTGGGGCAAAGAAAGGGAGAAAATTGTCCACAGGGTTGAGAGGGACAGAGGAACAAAGAAGACAGTTCAGGTCAGAGAAGACAAGGGAACCGGGAAGGATTATGTCTCCCTGGCCCTGCTGCCCTCTCTTGCCCCACCCAGCCCCCTGCTCCTGCCCAGCTCTCCAGGGGTCTGTAGGTTTCATTTGACCTGTGGCATCTCTACCCCAAGGAAGTGAAGACCAAACAGCCTTCCTTACCCCTACCACCACCCTTCCTATCCCTACTAATTCGCTTCCCACAGCAATATATTTGGGTAATGAGTAATTCAGGTTCTAGAAAGCTCCTTGGATAAGCCAGGGCTGCATGGACAGCCTTTTGGCAGTTTTGGAGTATCAATAGCATGTTTCTGAAGCCTCTGGAGCTCAAATAAAGAGAGTATCTGTAATACAACCACCCCATGAGAGGGGTGACTGTTCTCCTTTTCTGGATGAGGAAACGGGCTCAGAGAGGTTCAGCAACCTGTTGAGGGTCAAACAGCTAGTAAGCGGCAGAGCAGAGTCTGCACTCTGATCTCTTGCCAAAACCCATCTCTGCCCTCCTGGGTCACACAAGCGCTTTCTCAACAGAAACTTAAACGCAGTTCTTCTCATCCAGGACTTGGCGAAACGACCCTGCCCGGGCTGGAGCTGGCGGGACGGGGCAGGTTTGGCGCCCTGGCTCGCCACGCTCCAAGCTGCACACACTGCCCCGGCCACGCTCCCAGCCCCGGGG